TTTTTATATAAAAAAATCGAGGTATAGGGCTAATTTTTTATAGCTATAAAAGCTAGTATAGGGTTAAATTTTTATAATTATAAAAAATTAATACTCTACTCGATTTTTATAATTATAAAAAATTAACGCCCTACTTCGATTTTTATACTTATAAAAAATTAACGCCCTGCCTCGATTTTTATAATTATAAAAAGTACCCTATTAATTATTATCTTAGTTAATATGCGACGCTACTAGAGCGTACCGGCTTTAATATACTTTTATTACGGAGTATTTATAACGAAGCTAAGTAGTCTTATGTAGCTTCCGAGTTTAACAATATTAACTCTAATATTAATATTCTAATTATTACCTACTACCTTGGTATAAAGGGTCTTAACCTTTATACTACCTATTATTATGGTATTACGCTCGCGTTCCCTTAATTATTATTAAAACTAAACTAAGTAATGGGCTACCTTATTCGTCTTAGTTAAATAAAGTATATAACTTAGAAAGTTCTTAAAGTTAAGGGCATAGTAAGAGACTATATAGAAAGAGTATATATCTTAAAATAGGTAAACGAGCTATTTACGATTAGTAATACTCTATCCTATATTAAGTACTAGGTCCGCTACGCCGTAGTATACGAGGTAATTCGCAATTACTTATACTAGCTATTTAATAAGTTAGTATAGGTAAACAAAACCTTTAGTACTACTTAACTCGACTAGTATTATAGCGCCTAAACTAAACGCTATAGTTATTTTTATACTTTTATTACCGTTCTCGCTAAAAGCCTAAATAAAAAAAATTACGAGATTCTATTTAATAAATAGTCCTACATCCTACTAAAAGTAGTAAATAAGTTTATTAGTAATTTTATAAAGGACGTCCCGCTTACCTCCTTTTACGAAGAAGTAAGCGATCTAAGTATTATAACTAAAGAAAATCTCTTTAATATTAGTAATTAAGTAAACTCAGAATAGGAAAAGAGCTTAGAGTAAGTACGGGCGTCTAAGCGGACTACTAAGCTCCTCAATACCCGCCTCTAGGAGCGGAATACTATTTTAGCCTATTATTATTAAGAGGACGAGGCGCTCGGTATTAAAGATATTAAGTACGATATAAATACCTTTAAAGAGAAGCGCAGTATTTTCTTATTCTCTATTAATAACCTTTTCTAAGAGCTCGGAGATATCCATAAGAACTCTAATATTAACGTAAATATTGACTTTTTTAAAGGACTCGAGTCCTAGCCCGATGCCCCCCCTATTATCGAGGTCCCCGGCTCGCTAACCCTCAAGGTCGCTACCGCCGCTCGACATAACGCCAAGTCCTAGAGCTCTAATATATATAGAGACTCCAATACTAAGCGTACTATAGAGTTAATAATAAACGCCCCTAATAAGTATAACGAGGACGTCAATATAACGGACCTCGACCTACTATCCCCTACCCCCGCCCAGAGTATTAGAAAAAACGATAATATAGAGGATCTCTAGTTAATATATTCCTTTTTCGTACCCGGGATAGACGAGGTACTAAACGTAGTACTCGGATACTCCTCTCCCTTAGACATATTCAATTAAGACTCCCTCTCTTCCTCTCTTAGAGCTAACTTAATCTTAGATATAATAAGGAAGCGCCACGAGCGCTTAATAAATAAATAAGATCCTAGCTAAGATACTAATAATAAGGGCAGAGATAGTAACTAGATAGATATTAACAATAAATTTAATAAGAGTTAAGATAATAATAAAAACGACTAGTTTATAAAAAAGACTACTAAGCCTACGGTATAAAAGAAAGAAGAGAAGCGATTAATAAAAAACGCCGCTACTAGAGCGCGTAGGGCAGCTAAAAAGGATACTACCGAGCTACTCTAATAAGAAGATAAGCACAAGGGATCCGCAACCCTTAAGTAAACCCCCGAGTACGCAAAGGGGGTTACTAAGCCTAATACCCAATCATCCGCGCGTATCTAGAACTAGTCCTAGGCTAGCTTACCTAAGGATCCTCCGGCTAATAGCTAAGCAGTAAAGTTAGGGTTAGGGTTAGGGTTAGGGTTAGGGTTAGGGTTAGGGTTAGGGTTAGGGTTAAAAAAAAAATTAGGAAAGAGCGACCATCCAGCAAAAAACTAAACAAGACGAGGCGACGCTGCGTGGGATGGTGGCACGGAGACGGCAAGCCGGCTGGGCCTTGGGCTATGGGCTTTGGGCTCGACAATTGCTGCTTGCGTTGAGGACTGCCCTTTACAGAGAGAGTACTGAACATAGGTACCTATCATTCGGGTACGGATATCATTTTGCCTGTCTGCTGTGGCATGGCACTCGACCCGGCTTGGATTGCCTCATTGTATTCATTCGTCCATCAATTCATCCATAGCTATGTACAAGATGCAGAAGATGCACTCGGGTACTCCAACGTCTCCAAAGTACCGTCTGCAGAACATGCCCGAGGCCGCAAGGTATCCTGCCTGGGGGAGCTTGCTGACGATCCATGGCAACTAAATCCTGCATGTCCGTCCATCACCACCGCCAACACCATTTGCTGCTTCTCCCGTTGTTGGTCGTCCACCATGGAGACAGGTGGAGGGGGCCGGCACACACGACACGACAAGAATGCTCCGCTGCAAGCTACCTGACACTGACCGTCTTGTATCATCTGGACGTGGGGATTTTCATCTTGGCCATGGAGAAGTGAGAACCTGAGAGGAGAGAAAACGGCATGGCGTTGGCGTCATGTTGGTGGTGCAAGAATGACAGAAGAGCGCCAACGAAAGCCAGAGCGAGCATCTGTTCTGTATCCATAGGTACCTATTCTGAATTATCTGTAGGCGCTGGCAAGCCTTGCTGCAGTCACGCCCTCCCTCCCTTTCTGTTACCTACCCGTAGGTATTGCTTCTCAGTCTCTCCTTCGCCTCCCCGGGAGCCCCTTCTGCCACACTTTAGCCCAGTACAATAGATTAGCAACTGGCCCAAGACTTGGAGAAGCCCGAGGCGGAGGCGGAGGCGGAGACGGCGGCGGGCTGGCTTGGGAGGCTTGAAGATGCGGGTGGTGGACTCCAGGCCTGGTCTTGCAAGTTGCCCGGTTCGCATTGCATCTGGCTGATGCCTTTCCTACCCTACCAGTAGGTATGTATTTCCTTGGACGGATGAAGATACATGTGTGAGATGGATGCATGGGTGTTTGGCCACTGGGCAGAATCTCTTCTAGATGAGCACGGCAGCTTTTGCTCACGGTAGATGTTAAATGGGAGGTGGAATGAGAGACAAGACAATCATCGCTCTCTGAACGTCTGTTCCATCTTTTCCCCCTCCTTTCTCTCCTTCCCGCAATGATCGATGGCTGCTACCGGCCGGTACCGTTGAGGCCGTCCCCCCTCCGGTATCGAGGGTTTCTGGGTGCGGGAGGAAGGACGTTGAGGTTTCCGGTAGAGTCAGATCAGATCAGCGATGACCGACCGGGCCCTGGCCATCCACCCTCTCACCCCACCCTGCCTGTCATGTCCATAATCTCCACGCCTAGCCATGCCTGGCACGCCTATCCGTACTCCGTACTGATATGCGAATGCTGAGCCAATCCATGCCGCGACGACGCGCAGTGCGAGGTGCCGGGAGCGGACAAAGGTTGAAACATGAAGTCGCTGGAGGAGAGCAGGGACAGGCGGGGAAAGGTGAGGAAGCCAAAGTTCCGTCGGCTCGTAAGGTAAGCTGTAGCAGGGGCGGGACGGGAGGAGTAAGCAGTCCGGTCTGATTATGCTGCCGCCTTGGTTTCTTGGTTCTTGGTTTGCAGCGGTGGTGGTGGTGGTGGTGGTACACGTCTTCTCGGTCAAGGCCTCTACCTACACAGTAAGGCAAGGTAGACTGAGCAGTGACGGGAAGCTAGTGGCAGAGCAGTTGAGCCACAGCAACCTGACCACACACAGTACAGAAAAGAACGTACCGGGATGACTAAAGAGCAGTACAGAGCAGACCATCTTTGATAGGACAGTACGGATCCCGGGTGAGTGCTTCCTTCTCTCTCGCAAAAAAAAAAAAAGGAGTGGAAAACTTCAAGATGCGCTAGCAGGGATAAAGAGAAAAACGTACCGACTGGGTCAAAGGTGAAAGAAATAGACCGGGGGCAGGAGCAGGGACAGGGTTTCTAGTCAATTTAGCGTTGGTGCTGATATACGTACTACGTACATACTGCCATACTGCGTAAAATCATGGTCCCATCATTCTCTCATCAAAGAGCATGACAACCCGCAGCAGCAGCTCTTTCTCAAGAGACTCAAGACTCGATAGCTTCGACAGTGGTAACCGTACTCTATCAGGTAGAGTAAAATTGGGGTCGGAGCTTGTCTGTACGACACCACTGCTGCAGAATGGCCTGAGGTTTCGATTCCCGTCTCAGTCATTAGGTGCCAAAGAAGAAGTTGGAGAGCAATGCAACGTTGAGAGTTGTCAGATTGGTATCGAACTGCTCATGCCGGAATCATGCCCATAGAAGCTATTGGCCTATCCTATCCGTATCCGCAGTCGACACTGATACATTGTCGAGAGTATACATCTTGGCGCAATGTGCGGGAGTCGAGAGTAACAGGTCCGTTCTTGTCTCGTTCCAATATCGACCGACAAATCGAAAAGACTTGGGACGGAGAGAGTGTCTAAACTTGGCATCCCGCCGCCTAGCAGAGCATGGCGACGCATCCAGTCGGCTCAAGTTCGCAGGTGGTTGGAAGACTGAGGCAGTTGACGATCAAAGTGTTTGCGGCTCCAGCCGGACATTGGTCTCGAGAGTTGTTGGCTCGGCACTACCCCATACCTGCCTCCTTGAAGTTGTATTAGCCTTTTCCTCAACAGTCTGTATCCGTAGCACCGTATTTCGTGCTTGGTGATGCTCCCACCTCTCTGCTTGCTCTAGCTGATTTTACCCCAGACCATCGAGCCGCCGTTTGGTCTTGATCGTTCTCAATTAGCTTCGCCATGTCTCGAATCTCGTTTGCATCAGTGGCCGCCATGCCGCGGCATACCTCATCCCGTACTGAAGACACTGTTGGCAGGGCGGCTGGTATGAGAGAATGCCGTTTCCATCGTCATAGTGCCGGGGACGGAGATTATGGCGCCCTCTTGTCTCTCTCTACAAAGTCTGAGGTGCGTGCCTTCCCTCCTCTCCCGGCTCTCGCTTGCCTTCGGCACTGTACACTTGACACGGCCCCACGTCGCTTTCAACACGGGCAGAGGGCACCAGCGACCGACCCCAGTCGGCTCAGCCCAGGCCAAGCAGCCCAGGCCCATGCCGCAAAGAAAGAAGCGAAGACGCAGGCACAGACCGGCGCAGGCAGGCCGCAGGCGAGCAATGGCAGGCACGGCAGGCACTGAGGCAGGCAAGGAAGGCATGGGTTCGCGTTTTGGAAGCAATGGCCCTGCCCTACCTCTACACTGCAAGTATGTACCTGCCCTTGCCCTGTCCCTTCCTTCCTGTCTGCCCGGGACCGGAACTGAAGTCCTTGCCCGCGCGCACTGCTTGCGACACCCAGAACAAGCCATAGAAGGGACAGGGCAGTCTCGTAATAGACGAAACAAGCCCCAACCATTCCCCCCAGTACCTGATCTAGGTATCATCCCCCCAGTACAAGGAAGCTTCCATTATCGGTCATTTCACGATGCTCGTTTGGAACACACACGGATGGGGAACCCAACTCTCAGGCGCAAAAGATCCGGTGAAAAAAGTTCGTAAAAGTTTGGGTCGAAGGAAAGAATGATGTCATTGTTGATTGAAATTGTCATTGGCGGCAGGTGCACCTACCATCGTCGTCGCGTCGTCCGCCCGCTCTTTCTCGCTTGACTGGGCAGTTAGCTTGCTTCCCTTGCCTCTTTTGGGTGCGTGCTTGCCTCGCAGCTCCAAGGCGAAGACGCAAAGCATCGTGAGTTTTTAAGTGGGGGAGAGGAGCTGTCCTTAGAGGTACTCCTCGTCGAAACAACACTTCACTCCCACTCCCTCTCCCACTCACGATCCAGCCACACCACGACGTGTGGCCCACGACGGGTGCACGATTTCTCGGGTCGCTAGCACTCCCTTTCTATCCGATTCGGCCCACGATCCATATCGGCGGATAGCCAAAGCCGCACATTACATCACCTTCAAACGTTTGGCCTTATCTCGACCACCTCGTCTTATCAGAGACGTTTTACCGATATCTTCCATCCTTATGGCGTACGTTATCATGAATCTCGAAGCCACTAGGCTGGCTGCCTGACTGGATGTCTTTTGTACGGAGGGTGTCAATCAGACTCGTGTCGGGCGAGGCGCGTCTCGGTCGCGTCTCACTGTCAGCATGCCTTCTTTGCACCCTATGCTTTGTCTCTCCAATTACACCGCCAGCCTGGTTCTCAAAAGACACTGAGTGTTGCCGTCGTGGAAGGATGGACGTGGCCACGACTCGAGCAAGCGTTCGATATCGATACCAAGCCCTGCTCAGCTCGAACTTTATCAATGATTGGGGCAACCCACCTGGGGATTCTGGGAAAACTTGACCCGCCGTTGATACGCAGCAAAGACAAAAAGAATTGGCTCCAGAATCTGCCCCCCCCCCCCCCCTGCGGCCCCGTTCTGATGATCTGATCGGCCGGCGCCCGTCCGCAGACAATAACGGAGCGAAATAAGGCCATGCCCCCGGGTCCTCGCCTGAAAGCAACGGCGACACGAAGCAGAACCAATGGTGGAACCAACACTCGAGACACTGGACGAAGATGGGGGATGGGAACATGGATGTGAAGGACAAGGAAGGGACAAGCAAAAGAAGACTGGTAAAGGAGAAAAACGATACCAGTTCGGTCCACATTCCAGCCATTTCCCACATTCCATCCAAAGTGGTTGTCCCCGCAAGTTTGCTCTGGAACTATTCTCAACAAGGCCGAACCCATGACAAACATCAAACACTCCTGCGAAAAGCTTCGTTTCCTTTGGCTATGCTATTGCTTTGGGGGCCGATCTACCATTACTGGAATGCACTGGGAAGCAGAAGCAGGCCAGGGACAAGACAGACAGAAGAGTCAGAGTCAGTGTCGGACAATACCTGTTGCACTCTCTTTTTCTCTGGGTGCGGGCTAAGTTTTGACGGCACGTTTGTGCGTTGTTTGCGCCGTGTCTTTGGAAGCGCTAAGACGACGCCGACCCGCTCTGTCGCTGATGACTGATGAATCCAGGGAATTGTGTGTCAGAAGCGGTACGAATAGTCAGTCGCTCTGTCAGCCACAGGTTGGAGCTGGACTAGGGCTGGCGATAGCAACGACACCGATGCCGGCATCAGCTTTTATCGATGGTGGCCGTTGGCACGACCTACCCTACCGGCGCCTGGTATGGATGGCATAGACATTGTTGATGCCGACGCTGACGGTAGTAGTGCAACTACGAGATCTTGACTACCTATAGTCCCGTATGCGGAGCGGCTGCCTGCATCGAGAGCCAATTGACACATCTCGTTCTGATTAGAGACTTTGGCTCCCACGCTCCATACTGGCGGCAACGGCGTGAAGAACTTTTTGTCGTCAAAATGTCTCATTCCGGCCAAGAAACGGCTGGGCGAGGGTTGAGATTCCTAGACCAGCATGCTGCTACGTGTGAATGAGTCGCCCGAGTCGTCACAGAAATGGCGCAGATGCATTGTGGCACTATAATGCGCTGCCATTGCTGATGGTTGCATTGGCGATGGCGATAGCAATGCATTTTGCTTGTGTTACTGTCACCGCTCTCTTGGACACGACTCTTTCTTCACTGATGCTGTTGGGCTGCCCTTGTGCATCGGCGATGAGCGGAGCACTGAGAGGCAAATGCTTCTCACAAAATGTCTCGCCAATGGCAATAATTCGTGCTCCTTGCAAAGTACGTTTCGATTGGGGTAAGAGCAGGCACCGCTATGGGCATTTGGCGGCTCAGGTATTGCCCCAGAAAGAACAGACGAAGCGCGAAAGCGACAGCAACAAGACAACACGCACGGAGCGTATTCTCAGAGTGGCCCGAGCTGTCGGCAACAATTTCCACTGGATGGGCAGACGCTGGATCACCAGGGTTATTTTGTTAGATGATGTGTCTGACGCCTTGATAACTGCGGCGTACCGGTATGTTGGTTTCCAACGTCGACGAAGTATCTGCATTGCGGGCTTTTTGCTTCCTTTTTTTTTTTTTTTAATTCACTTTCTCCGTAATCCATCTGAATCCGTATTCATCGCTTCAGAAGTGGGGACCGGAAACCGGGGCAGGCCGCAGGCCGTTGGGATGGGATTTTGGCCTGGAACTCTTGCCCTCGCGAGTCGCCGCAGCACCGCACCTCCCGCATCCACCGCACCCGTGTTTTGGGAAAGGACGGAGACGACGGGGAAGGAGCAAGTGGGATGGAGTATGGAGTACGTATCTATGTACATACTTAGACGCGGAGACGACGACGCGACGGGATGGGGGATGATTCAGCAGGAAGGACTAAAGGAAATGGAGTGGTTTACCGGTACCATTTTTTTTTTTTACAGAAAAGGAGGGAAGGAAACACGACTGACCAACCAGCAGGCTGTATCGTGGGAAGGACCCAAGAGGACCCAAAGGCTGTCATCGCAAAAAAGAGAAGAGGAAGGAGGGAAGGAGGGGCAGTTACGGAAGGAAAGAGCAGGGGGTCCCCCCCCCCCCCCACCTGATGGACTCAGTCTGGCCACCCCCCACCAAAAAAAGAAACTCACCAAAGAAAGGCAGGAAGCACTTGAGCCTTGAGGTTTCTTCCCCCACCAAAAAAAAAAAAGTGAGAATGAAGTCAATTCCCGCTGCAACATCACATCGCCCGCCCCGACCGCACTCCACCACCCACATCCACATTTGATCCACAACCACAAGCCATCGCTCATTCACGGACCTCACCGGCACGGACTCTCCTTTGCACTCTCTCTGGTGCGCGGAGATGCCGCTCACTGCTCCTATGCTTATCCATATCCATTACCGTCGGCACCGTGTCACCTCTACATGCCAGCCAATACCATAGCACCAGCTGCTTGCTGCTACACCAAAGTCTACATACTACCGTCGATACAGTCTAGGTGGGACTGTTTAGGACAGGAAATGCCTTCAAACAATGCCCAGCAAAGCATTAAGCATGCAGAAGAACGCAACAAGGCTTTGGCGCACTAGGACTAGCTGTCTTCGACATCAGTAGAAATCATCGCAGAATCGAACCAACACTGCACGCACCCATCTCACAGCCATCCTATCACCACATTTCATCATGTGTACGGAGTAGTATCAAAGCAATTTCACCCATTAGAATGTTCCTCCATTGAACTCTCAAACGCCTTCACCCTCACTACATCATTCCGACCTGACCAACAAGACCGGGTTCCGCACCCAACCAAAGTTGGTATTCGACCCCTAGAAACCCTCACTCTTCTACTCAACGCCAGTCGTCCATCCAGTAGTAGGTATGATGCATCAAACGTTGAGCATTTTAGAGTTGCAGCTGGAGAGTTCCGCCATACCACTGCAAGCTCGTTCTGCCACACTCTAATATATTGCCGTCGTCATCCCAAGAGTCGTCTTACTTCGCGGCGGCTTTGAAGCTTGAACCGACCCTTGGGTGTCTGCGGCCCAGCCCGCCCGCCACTACGAATCCCGAGCATTGCTCATCTGGTTGATGTGCCATCTTCTGGATCCGAACACCGGCACCGGGGCCACTGGACGGGCATCCTCCCTCACCACCTCCGTCTTCACCGGATCAATCTCTGGCCCAGGCGCCGAAGTCTCGGTCAGCAGTACCGTAAAAACGACAACCTTCACACGATATTGCCGCGTTTTCGGATGCCAGAGGTGCATCCAATTTAGCCGTTGTACCGCTTCGGGCGGGGACCTATCAAAATCTCCAGTCTCCGCGCTGTGCAACACTCCGGATCTTTTGTCATGACTTTTGTTCTGTCCAGCAAGCAAGGAACCCCACTACGAATACAACAAGAAATCAATACTCGGTCTTGTCGTCGCCTTTGGACTTTGGATTGCCAGGCAGCCTCTCGTCTCCCTCAGCCGATGGCTTGTGCGCAAATGCAGCCTTTTCTCAGATCATCCAGTTGAACGGACGGAGTACGGGTCTCCACTGGCCCATGTTCCCCATTCCCACTCACATACCTAAAGTACCTACATCCAGCATCCACTTCTATGCTCACATTCGGTACGGAGTACGGAGTAGGGGCTGCGACTGCGAGCACTCACAGCATGCACCCAGCGGCATGCAGCAAGGCATGGCTACGGCCATTGTGACGAGTGGGAGCCGCAGGGGCTGAGGACCAGTCATTGAGCTGCATGGCCTCGCTTGAGGCGTAGAAGCCCACGTACGCCACCGCCGTAGGTCCAGTCAAGCCCCTTCACTTACTTGAGCTTCTCACAGAGCTACCTCTGTCACAATCGGTTTGAAGACAGAAGGGCATCGTCAATCAGCTTTCGGCCTTTCGGGGACTTCTTCGCCCAGACCCAGGGTGTACGACATGGGTATCGAACGATGCAAATGCTCACTGGCCCCTTC